GGGGGGGGGGGGGGGGGGATACCATGGGGGGGGAGGGGGGTCGGTGAACCGAGAACCGGGATCATATATGGTATCCCCTCTAAACAAAGACTAACCACCAAGATCCTTCAAGTAAGGGTTACCATAAGGCTGGCTATTGGAGGTTTTTGGGGTTTAGGGGTCAGGCTCTAAGGGTTGTTGATACAGGCCCTAGTGCAGGGGCCTGAATAGTAACATTCCTCAGGGTTCCTTGATGCAACTACAGTAGAACATACACCGAAACTTTGTTCTAACTATCCGAGATCCGGAGACCCGGCAACATTGGATTGTTGCTTGCGATCATATGCTATACGACACTTTACAATGTACGATAATGCACGGAGAACTACGATAGCAGCAGGAGTTGCGCTTTGTGGTTGGCCTGTCTCATTGCTGTGTTGCCTCAGCTGGCTTGACCCTCAGCCCTAAACCCTAAACCCTGTCGTCCGAAAGCGCTACCCTAAACTCCCCTCAACGCTAAACCCTATGAGCCCTAAACCCTGAACCCTAAACCCTAAACCCCAACCCCTAAACCCTATGAGCCAAACCCTAAACCCCAAACCCTAAACCCTATGAGCCCTAAACCCTAAAACCTATGAGCCCTAAACCCTAAACCCTAAACCCTCAACCCCAAACTCCGAACTCCGCGCCGGAACCTGCAAGAAGGCCCCGGGTCTTTGTACCTGCACTTGGGTAGTTCTCTAAATTAGGGTCCCCTTTGGGGTCCTTTTTATAAGGGTGTCGTACTATATTGGGGACCTGAAAAGGGACCATAATTTAGAGAACTACCCACTTGAACTGCGCAGACGCAGAGCCGAATCTCTAAACACTAAGTCCAGGTGGGTTTAGGGTCTTAGGGTTTAGGGTTTAGGGTTTAGGGTTCAGGGTTTAGGGTTCAGTTTAGGGTTTAGGGTTTAGGGTTGAATCTCTAAACGCTAAGTCTCGGTGGGGTTTACGGTTTAATGGGGTACATCTTTTGCGGAGGTTCAAGATCTACCCTAATCCCTACAAAGAAATAGGTGGGGGTAGTTCAAGGTAAATCCTACGACCTAAACAGCCTAAACCCGAAGTCACAGCAAAGATCTGGAAGGATCCGGGAGGTCTTGAACAGCTTCAAGCCGCCGAAGGCCTGGTTTCTAACTAGGACTCGGGCATGTCCTCAGGGTCCAGATGGGTAGTTGTCAAAATTAGGGCCCCTTTTAGGGATACCCTAAATACTTGGTGCCGTATTATAATGAAAGGGACCCTAATTTAGAAAACTACCCAGATAGAAGCATGAGCAATTCTCAATTCTAAATGGGGGTTTCCGAAAATAGGGGACCCCAATATAGTACCCTAAATAGTAGGATCCTTATTATAAGGACCCCCAAATAAGGTACCCTAATTTTCGGAAACTCCCAAATGTTGTTCCTTCTTAGGATCCTTAGAAGCTCCGGTCTCAATGGTGGGCCCCCTACTACCTTAAACTCTTATTCTTGTTCAACCCTAAACCCTAAACCCTAAACCCTAAACCCTGCAGATTTGCAAACATCCATTATAACACTTTAAGCCGCAAACCCTCGTTGAATCTACGGAGTTGTTCTACTGCTGAGTCGCGCAGCTGCAAAGGCGGCAAAAACTGCGTTCTTGTTCAGGAACTACTTTGTTTTACCAGAATTCAGGAAACCATATTCTGTATTATTGATCCTGTTGTTGATGATGTAAATCCTGCATGACCTCAAGGATCCTAAACTATGGGAATTACGGTATATTCCTTATTTTGGGTAGTGCAGGATTTGTATCATCAACCGTACTATGGTAACCTAAGTTACCTTCCCTAGCAGGAAGTGCTCCCTCAGGGCACCCTGTGAGGATGTGAATGAGATCTCTCAACTTCGAATCTCCGCAGGAGAAGAACTAAACCCTACTAAACCCTACAAAACCCTAAACCTTGAAGCCCCTAAACTGTTCAGGGTTCAGGGCATTGGGCGCAAGGGTTTGGGTTTAGGGTCTTCGGCTTCAGGGTTTGGGGTTTAGGGTTTAGGGCTACATGTAATGTAGAGGCTTGGTGATAATCACTGTAAGTATTGCTTCGGAGTCGTTTGGTGCCAAAGTAGCATAACATGGTCCAAGACCTTCTTTCTTAAGTTTTTCAAGCCCTAAACCCCAAGCCTGACAAACCCTAAACCCCAAGCCCCGAAGCCCTAAACCCTAAACCATAAACCCTAAACTTCTTTCTTAAGTTATTCAAGCCCTAAACCCTAAGCCCCAAGCCCCGAAGCCCTAAACCCTAAACCTCCCAAAAACCGAGGCCTAAACCCCAAGCCCCGAAGCCCTAAACCCTAAGCCTCCCAAAAACCGAACCGCATGGAGGAAGGGGAGGCAGACTACTCCGCCTTGGTGATCAGTTTCGCGAAGTGCATGGCTTGCATTCAGCTTTAAGGTTTTTGGGGTGTTTCAGGTTTTTTTTTGGGGGTTCTGCTGTAGGGTTTAGGGTTTTGGGCTTCAGGGTTTAGGGTTTCGTTCTGTTTTTTGGGTTTAGGGTGTAGAGTCCCAGATGCAGGGTTTTAGGGTTCCTAAACGGTCGATGGTTTTTGGGGTTGAGGGGCACCACTACTTTCGGCATGATCATGATGATTGCCGCTTTCTTTGTTGCCACGGCCTGCTAGCACTTCTTGGTTTTGCTATTGTTCTCGGCTGTTACGAACTGGAGTTGTCAGTATAAATTAGATACCGCGTGCCATGTCTCTCCCAAGAAAACAGCTCCTGTTTGCTCTGCGCTGTTATGGATCCGGCTCGCTATCATCGTAGCCGCAGGATGCCGTTTTCAGTATGGGGTTTAGGGTTTAGTATTACCGCTGCCGCTGGTGTTTAGTCGCTTATCTTCCATTTACGTGTCGTACCTGCTTGTTTTTTTTTGCTTTTTTACTTGGGGTCGGGCGCTGTTGCTGCCAGTTTCACGGTCTTCAAAATGGCGGTGTACCGTTGTTTTGCAGCGCTACTCTTGTGATGACCGTGACGATGAGTTGATTATGATGCCCGCCGTCGTAAGCATGCGGGTGCTTCGTGCTCTTACGGTTGGTTTTGTTGTTGCATAGCTCTCGACAACAGGAGAGGCGACAGTCCAAGTCTTACCACACTTACCATAGAGACCGTTATTGTCGTTAATGGCATCACGGCGGTTGCTAAAAAGTAACGCTTTCTTGCGACCCTTCTGGCAAGTTACATGAATGTCTCATTACCACGAGGTTTATCAAACAAGCTTAACATTCTCCGGCTCTTGATTATGGTTTACCCATATACTCTAAACCCTGAACCCTAAACCCCTAGGGTAGGTTTTTTGTGCTACTGTTTCGTGTAGGGTTTGAAACCCTAAACCCTAAACCCTAAACCCTGAACCCTAAATCCTAAATCCTAAATCCTAAACCCTAAACCTTAAACCCTAAACCCTAAACCCTAAAGCGTAGTTTGGGGTCGTGGCCCCTAGCCGCCACCCTCAGGAAGTGCCGACAGAGCGCCTTCTCGGATGCCCGACAGCAGGAGGATGCAGTAGAGCGGCCTTGCCTGAAATTTGGCGTTCGGAGGCGTTTAGGGTTTAGGGTTTAGGGTTCAGAGTTTGGTTTTGGCGTTTGGGGTTCAGGGTTTAGGTTTTGGGTGCAGAGTGTAGGGACACATTCAACGCGAAACACTAAAACTCTGGAGCCGTGACTTTTCCGGGAGTCCTGCCGTTTCCTTTGGACAAGAAGCCTGCCAAGTAGTATGTTTTTCAATCTTATTTTCAGAGTACCTGTTTTGGGGTTTTACAATGGGTAATGTAGAAGCTTTAATAATTAGAAGAGGGTTTCGAGGTAGATCATAACTATAATAAGGACCCCTCCCCCCCCAAAAAAAAGAAAAAAAGTATAGGTAATTACTTAGGCCCCTATATTAACAGGGGTGGGAGTCTGCAAGGGTTTTGTATTGGATGCTTGACCCTAAACCCTAAACCCTAAACCCTATTTGTGGTGAATTTCGGGTTCCTTATCTAGGAGTTCCTCTACCAGGAACCTTTGACATTTTCCGACATTTCCAAGTTTAGGGAAAAGGGGTACTGGCTGGATGCCTTAACATAGACGCCTGAACTTTTTCGAATAATATGCCCTAGCAGTCCCTGATATAATTGATGCAACAACACGACAACATGCCCCAAAAGCTCGTTCTAGTCAGTACTAGCCCCTCTTCTGGACTCCTGACTGGAACCCTGTTCTGCCCATAAAGGCCCCTATGTTCAGGGTTTAGGGCCGTTTAGGGTTTAGGACCCTAAACGATAAACCCTGCACCCTAAACCCGAAACCGCCCCCAAGACCCCTCAGCTCTCGGACGTCCACGCCCTCAGGTACGAGCAATTCCGGCAGCGCTACCCCTTCGATGAGGATACGCACAACTACCTGCTCCTGGGCCTAGCTAGCCTGTGGGGCAAAAACGGATTTAAGGTTCAGGGTTGTGTGATCCCTAAACCCTAAGCCCTAAACCCTAAATTGGGTTTAGGACTTTGGGATTAGGGTCCAGGGCTGAAGGTTCGCAAGTGAGGCCTTTCATTTGCATAGCCTATGGGTATTCGGAGGTTTATGAAGCAAGGACTGCTGCTACTACTGCCCTGAACCCCAAACCCTAAACACCTAAACCCCCAAAGCCTTAAACCCAAAACCCTAAAGTCCTAAACCCAAAACCCGAAGCCCTAAACCGAAGGCCCTTCTGTTAGACCCAGGCAGACTTCGAATCCCGACGTGCGCAGGCTGGATTGGGATCCCAAAGAGGCTGTTGGAAGAAGGATTTTGAAAGTGAGGGTAGAGGGCTGCAGGATATAGGGCTTCAGGGCCCTAAACCCTAAACCCTAAACCCCTAAACAAACCCTAAACCCTAAACCCTAAACCGCTGCGATGTTGGGTGGGTGGGTGGGTGGGTGGGGGGGTCTTGAGGGTTTTGAGCTTTTTTTGGGAGGTCAGTCGGGTTTTCCGGGTTTAAGGCTTTCGGTTCATTTAGGGGGGTGTCTAAACCCTAAACCCTATCCCCTAAACCCTAAACCCTAAACCCCTAAACCCTAAACCCTACCATCTTTGGCCTGTGCTTGGGGTTCCTTCGGTTCAGCTTGGGGGTTTAGGGTTCGCGTCTTTGGTTTCCCGTCTCCGAGCCCTTCCGGGGCACGTCTGGAAGAGGATCTCCATGTAATCACAGTATATCTACAGTATAGTAAGACATAGTAAGTATATTGTAGTAGTATCTCATGGTGTATATAGGCTTTAGTTGTCGCATCATCTAGTACTTTACGCTACATTAATAGATTCCGGTGCTTGTGAAGCGTCGGGTTTCGGGGTCCACCTCAACTCATGAAGGGAGGAGCACTGGAAAAGGTTGAAATGTCTAACCCTAAACCCTAAACCAGGGTTTAGGGTTTAGGGTTTAGGGTTTAGGGTTTAGGGTTTAGGGTTTAGGGTTTAGGGAGGAGCACTGGAAAAGGTTGAAATGTCTAGCCCAACCCTAAGCCCTAAATCCTGAATCCGCCAATCCTAAGCCCCAAACTAGACATTAGAGCCCTAAGTCCCAAGTCCTAAACCCTAAGCCCAAAACCCCCAAACCCAAGTCCTCAGCCCTAAACCCCGAAAGCAGCCCTGAAGCCAGAATCACGGAACTCATGGTAGCTCCATTCGAAAGCCCCGCAGCGCTCGAACGAAAATCGTATTCCTTAGGTTTAGGGTTTAGGGTTTGGGGTTAAGGTTTAGCGTTTTGGGTTTAGGGGTTATGGTGTAATGTTCTGTTATGGCTCCTATATTACAGCCCACTGCTGCGGAACTCCCGTATAGAGCCCAACAAGAACCTATACCATTCGCTCTTCAATGCAACCCCAAGACATCTGGTTGACATCCGGGAAGGGGCGAAATCCTACTCCCCGAAACCCTGGACCCCAAACCCTCAACCCAAAACCCACCCTAAACCCTAAACTCCTTAACCCTAAACCCTAAACAAACCCTAAAAATCCCCAAGCCCTCAACACACCCGCAAGATACGTCATGCGGAGCTTCAAGCCGCCACGTGAGGGTGAAGCCGACTATTCGGCGCGTTTTGGCTGCTTTTGTGGCTTCATGGGGCGTGGGTTCATGCAGAATTTCAGGACGATTCCTAGAACCCTCAAAGGAACACCAGAAAGCTTATAAGGGCTGTTCAAGCCTGTGTTCAGGTTGTTTTCGGGGTTCGTAGGATTTAGCACCCTTGTCCGGTGCCAGTTCTCACGGATCAACCTCCCTAAACCCTAAACCCTAAATCCCTAAACCCTAAACCCTAAACCCTAAACCCTAGAATCCCTAAACCCTAAATGGGAGTTTCCGAAAATAAGGGGTGCCTGATTTAGGGGTCCTTATAATAAGGATCCGACTATCTAGGGTACTGTATTAGGGTCCTCTATTTTCGGAAACTCCTAAACCTGTTGATGTAGAAGGTGTGCGTTGTGTCTTTTACTGCTCTGTTCAGACTGAAGTTGCGGATGTCATCCACATCTATACCAAGACAGCCCCATACCCTTGAATTAAGGAATATACCTCCAGTTATGGGGTGGAACATCAGATGATTTCAGGTCTCTTCCTTAGTTGAGAGGTATTGGGCTCTCTGGCCAGGATTCCGTGTTCTGGGCATAGTGTTTGTGCCGCCTTCACCGTTTGGCCAGTAGTCTTGACAGTGCACCTCTGATCAGCAGAGTCACATCACAGCATCCAAGATCACAGCATCGACATCCTCTTCCCTCGCTTTCCCGACCTCCTCCTCCTCCTCCTCCCGCTCCCCTGCCATGCCCTAAACCCTAAACCCATGGTAGGTTTCGCCGCTGCAATGACTGTTCTCTTTGATCGTTGTTGTCAGGCAAGCCCGTAGCATGATCCAATGCTACGCCAATAAACCCTAAACCCTAAAC